GCAGTGCTGGGAAAACTGGGAATCCCGGGAGGAGCAGAGGGCAGGGCAAGGCTGGTAACGGTGTGAGGAGGGATCAGACTTGAGGAGCTCCCGGGGATGGAAACTGCCACTCCCTGAGGAGCCCAAAACGACTCCCTGAAGAGCCCAAAACCACTCCCTGAGGAGCCCAAAACCACTCCCTGAGGATCCCAAAACCACTCCCTGAGGAGCCCAAAACCAGTCCCTGAGGATCCCAAAACCAGTCCCTGAGGAGCCCAGCCCAGGCCCAGGGCAGGTGACTGGGAGCTCCAGACCCACGTACCTGGAGGGGGGAAGGGGGGTGGGAGGAACCCTTCTGGTTTCGGAGCCTTGCACTGGTTACACTCTGTTCTCCAGGCAAAGTTCTGGTTTCCACATCCCCTGGGTAGAAACAGCATTTTGCAGAGAGCAGGAAGGCATTCGAATTTGCCAGTGCTGCTTGGCCAAGGGCAGGAAGGCACAAGGAGAGGAGGCACCGAAGCTGCTCAGCAGGACCTGGAGCAGCTGTGGCCTCAGCTGCAGCTCCCAGGCAGTGACACCAGCCCTCCCAGTGACACCACCTCCCTCCCTCCCCGCTCTGGATGGGAGAAAGGAACTTCCTTGGAAAGCCCAGCAAGTTATTTTGGGAAAGGCTTCTTTATCCCAGCCAGCACCTGGGACAAAAGGGCCTCTTGAAGATGAGATGGAGCTGTTGTCCCCCCCAGAAGGAAAAGAGCTGCTGTGCCAGGGGTGGGCAGGTGGGGATACTCACGGATTGGGACACTGCCAGTCCCCAGCCCGGTGCTGGACACTCCCCCCGGAGGGATTCCCCCTGGATCCCCGTGGTCCTCTGGAGGAGAAGCCTCCCCTGTCTCCACCTCTGCCTCCCATCCGGCCCATGGGGCCGCTGGGCCCCCCGGGGCCACCGGGTCCCCCCGGACCTGCAGGGAAGGTTCTGTTAATCCCGGGAGACACCAGCCAGGGCTGGGCCCTTTGTGGGGGGGTGGGGACACACACACACACACGGTACCTCCACGGAGGGGGGGGGGCATCCCCCGCTGCTCCCGGGGGGCCATCCCGCCCCTCATGCTGTTCATCGGGCCCTTCTTCCGAGCCAGGGACACTTTGAGCTTGTTGCCCTGGAAATCCTTCCCTAGGAGGGACACAAGGGCAAGAGTGTCACCATTGTGTCCCCCCCCCACCCCGGCTCGCCAGGGCCTGCTGTCACACACAACCACTCCCAGTCCAAGCATCTCAGACAGCATGAAGGGCAAAATTCCACCCGTGGGACTGAGATAAACCCCAGCCATGGGAGAGAACAGGTGGCAGAAACCCGGGCAACTGAGGGCAGCCACAGCCCAAGCACCACACCTGGCTGTTCCAGGAACTTCTTCAGCAAAAAGCTTGACCACCTGGGGACAGCCTGGCATGACTGTGGCTCTACAGCCACCAGAGGTGGCCAGGAAGCCACCCCAGCAGCCACACTCACCATCAAACCACTCGACTGCTGTCTTGGCAGTGGACGGGTCCTCGTAGGTCACCGTGGCATCCCCCTTGGGTTTGCCTGTCTCCTTGTCGATGTAGAGGTTGATCATGGGCTGCCCAGTCCTCTTGTTCATCTAGCAGGACAGCAGAACGTCACCTCGAGGCACACGTTCCAAAGAGATGGGCAGGGATTTACTCTGCTCTGCTCTTGGGGATTCCATGGTAGAAGCTATGGTCTGGATGCCCCAGCCCATTCAGGAACTGCCCAGCCCCACAGGCCTCTCCTGGTTGCACCCAGCAGTGCAAGAACAGGGCTGTGACCTCCCCACATCCTCCTCCTCCGCTCCTCCTGCAACCCCCACCCCTCACATGTCCCACCAGATCCACGGCCCCTCCATGGCTGGAGGCCCTTCCACAAGCCCAAGGGATAAACGGTTCTTTGGGAAAACCTGAGCTCTGCTCATCCCAATTCCCAACCTGCCCAGCTCCTGGGAACGTGGGGCTGAAGGGATGTGAGCACCGTGCAGGCAGGGGGGAGGTGGGTGATGTTTCCCCACCTGCTGGAGGTGCCTCCTCACCTTGACAACCCCACACTGTTTGAAGAAGTCTGCAAGGTCCTCCAGGGTCACGTTATCATTGAGTCCCTGCACGTAGACTGAGCTGTTGTCCGAGTCCTCATCTGGGTCCATAGGTGGGCCTAGGCGACAATTCAGGGTGTCAGTGCAGGCAGAGGATGAGGACACAACAGAAGGGGGGGAGCTTTGTGTCCCCCAGTCAGCTGTGGCTTCACTTTCCATCAGTGGATTCATGGACTGACACAAAAACCCCAGTGCTGAGTGGGGACTCCAGGGCAGCCCCATCCCCGTGTCCTGCTGCTGAGCTGGCCTGGCTGCTGCTCCTGCCATGGACAAACAGCACCCAGGAGAGCTGCCTGGTTGTGACAGGAGACATGGGAGAGGGGACATGAGTGAGACCATCATGTCCTTTGTGCTCCTGCACAGGGACATCCACCTCCTGGCTGTGCTGACCCCCATTTCCCAGCCAGGAAGGCTGACCCAGAACTTCCAGCCACGCCTGAGCAGCAGGAAGGAAAAGAGCAGCAAGGTGACAGGCTGGAGGGGCACCAGGGGAGGCTGCTGGGCCAGCAAACATGAAATCTGGGCTCAGGCTGCCTGCAGAGGCTTCCTGCTG